AGAAAACATCAATATAATCCCTTTGACTAAAAGAGCTTCTTTTACAATGATGCAGTGTAATTCAATTAATTTCACATCAGAATTGTTTACAATAATTTAAAAGTGCATATTATTTTTAATAACATATGTAAACAGGCATATTATCTGGAGCCATGCCATTTAAGGCTGTAATCTCATTAGATTTCGCAAGCTAAGTAGGGTTGGGCCTACATTACTTGCATGGAAGACCTCCAAGAAAAGTCCAAGTTATTGTATGAACTAGTATTTGTGAATCAGTAGGCAACATTCTTCCACTGACTCTGTAATGAAATGGTGCTGCAGCTTGGTGTGAATAATCATAATGCTGTCTTTCAGATAAGAGGTAAAACTAAGATTATGACCACTTGTGGTCATTAAAGAGCCTATGGCACTTTTTGCAAGTGTAGGAGTGCCTGTCCTGGCCAAATACCAACCTAGGTAATTACATCCTGCCTACTTACATTCCCCTGTTGCTTTAATTGGATACGGTATTATTTTTCTATTCTTCTGTAAAAATGGATTCCATGGCCCCTCCTTGAGCTGCCCTTGGCCTACTTCTTTCATGATCTCATGCATTAGCCTACGTTAGGCCAGCACAGGAACTCACTCGGTGTTGCATAGGCACCCCTACATGGCCACGTAGCTCCTTTGTGGGATTTAAGTGACATGGAGGATATTGTGCTTGTTCTTTGCACTAGGTACCTGATCCAAAGCCTGTGGAAATCAAGGGGAATCTTTCTATTTCAATGGGATTTGAATAAGCCCCTAGATCTGAACTGTGTCCTCCGTCAATTAAAATTGTTGTTCAAAGTCATCTATGGCACACATACATAGTTATAATAATTCATTTCATTATTCTGTATAAGACCTCTTAATAAACAATATTTGTTTTGTTATGAAAACAATTCCCTTGGGGCTACATTTAGCACTCCTGAATGTGTCAAAACTCTCATTGTCTTTGGGTTTGTCTACATGAACATTTAGTTTGCTTCAAGCTGGGGTATAAATCTACCTTGCACTAGCCTGCTGCGCACTTGTGGACCCTGTTGTTGTGCACTATCAGTTTCTCAGTGCACTTGAATCGGGATCAAAGTGCACGAAGGAACTATTAGTGAGAGTCAGCAGGGTCCACACTCCATGTGTGGCAAGCAAGTGCGAGATAGATTCATATTCCAGATTGCCGCAAACTAAATATTCATGTAGATAAGCCCACCCGCTCACATGGAAGTCAATAGCAAAACATCAATATTCTTCAGCAAGGGCAGGATTAGGCCACTCAGGGAATGTTTACACTGCAATAAAACACCTGTGGCTGGCCCAGGTCAGCTGACTCAGTCTCGTGGGTCTCAGGCTGCGGGGTTATAAAACTGATATGTAGGCGTTTGTGCTCTGGCTGGAGCCCGGGTTCTGGGACCCTCTTCCCTTGAAGGGTCTCTGAGCCCATGTTCCAGCCCAAGCCCAAACATCTACACTGCAATTTTATAGCCCTGCAGCCTGATCCCCACGAGTTCGACTCATCTGATCCAGGCCAGCCATGGGTGTTTTATTGCAGTGTAGACATACCCTTGGTAGGAGATTTGGCAAAGTAACGAATGAGCCAGGAATACATGATAGGGGGCAGTTTTTTTCCTCCTCAATTTGAAACCTGTGAAAAACATAACTAATGCATACTGCATTGAACAAAGAACATGCATATTCTTTTAAATCACTTACAGCATACTTTTTTTTATAGAGGGTGAACAGATGGTTAAAAGCTTGCTTGAAAGTGATGTGTCCATTAAAACAACCCGTGTTACTATGTGATTGTTCACTATAACAGGGATTTGCTTCATTGAAGTAAATTGGAAGGAAACCAGACTTCAGAAAACCTTCATTACAGGGATCAACTACTTTGTAGTAAAATGTACTGCTGTTCACAAATCTAATAAAAACAAATGAGTTAGCAACACTTTTTCTTATAAATGTAGTCTGTTAATAGGATGGGTACTGCGATCACTAATTTAATTCTGCATCAGGGTTGTCAATTTTAATTATTTTCTGCAAATCTGATTTTTCCTTTGCTCCAGTTATCCTCTAAACTTTCATGTTCAAAATTCACTTGATTTTTCTGGCTTGATTCTATGCTGTGTTGATTTCATGTGTTTTTGGGGGTGAGGGAAGAGATTAAAATGTTTTTCTTGCTGAATTTTTGAAGGTCAAAGAGTTTTCCAAGGCTGCTTCACTCTCTGAGTGGCAAGTCTCCAAAGACACCAAATATTGAGTTTTTATAAACTTGTTTTCATGAGGAAAGAATTCCCTAAGGAAGTTACTACTAAACCTGTGCATTGCATAGCTCATATACAAACAATTGCACTAACATGGACATCTTCCTACCAAATTATTTCAGAGGTAAGATGACTTAGGTCCAAATTTTCAAAAATAGGTGCCCAAATTAGGCCCCTAAATCCACCAGGCATCAAAATAAGAGACCTGATTTTCAAAAGCACTGAACACCCCACAGCTTCCATTGAAGTCAATGAGTTACATGACATAAGGACTGAAAAACGACAAATCTGTTCAAGTTTTGTTCCCATCTATCTCCTAACTGCATTATATTCAGTGGCATCATTAATAAGCAAAATGGTTTGCTCCTTCAGCACCGCATCAATTTTCATTGAAAATATTTTCCCTTTGCAATAAATTGATTTTGCCATTCCCCCTTTGACATATAAATAATTGAAAAGTTTTTAAAGTAATTATCAAGGACTAGATGGTCTCAGAATTGCCAACACACATTCTTCAAAAATCGTAAGTCAGGACCCTCAAAGTCATGAGATTGGTTTAAAAATCATGACTTTAAAATATGTTTAGGGTTCTTTATTTACCTTCTGCTTTACAAGCCTTTTTAGGTTCATGTTTTCAATATGTTCTTCACAAGGTAGGGGCTAGAACCTTTTTAAACAATGAAAACTGAAACTTGTCATGTATGAGCACTATTGTGAGTGCTCGAGCTCTGAGGAAAAACAAAAATATCATCAGACTCACTATAAAACTGCAAGAGTAGGTGAGGAAGAGGCGGGAGGGTGCAATGAATCTTCTGCTCTTCTCTTCCTTGTGTGCAGGGAATGGTACATGAGTAACTCCTCATTTAAAGTAGTTGTTACGTTGCTGATCATTATGGAACATGCTCGTTTAAAGTTGTTTAATGCTCCCTTCTAACGTCGTTTGGCAGCCACCTGCTTTGTTTACTGCTTGCAGGAAGAGCAGCCCGTTGCAGCTAGCTGGTGGGGGCTTGAACCAGGGTGGACCGGCAGCCCCTCATCAGCTCCCCGCTCCCCTAAGTTCCCTGTGCAGTAGCTGCCTGCAGTTCAGCTGTATCCTTCCCCCCACTGCCATGTGGTGCTTCTGCCCTCTGCCTCTCCCCGCACAGCAAGCAGCGGGAGGAGGGAAGGAAGAGTGGGGGTAATGTCAGGGTGTGCCCCTCCCTCCTGCTTCTGCACCCCATCTTCCATAGAGCAGGGGGGACACACCAGGGCTCAAGAGGGCTCAGCAAGCTGATCTAATTAACAAGGCAATGTACGTAAGGGAAATGCGCGTATTTCCCTCCAGTCCTGCTGCCTTGTGTAGAGAGAGATGTAATCTTTGAGGGCTCAGCCAATTGCTAGTTCATCATTTAGCAGTAAGGGGAATATCCCACCCTCTGACTCCTCCACCTCAACCAAGCTTCACAATCAACACTGTGTACCAGTATTAAATTGTTTAAAACTTACACTGTGTGTGTGTATGTGTATGTGTGTATATATATATATAGTCTTTTGTCTGGTGAAAAAAATGTCCCTGGAACCTAACCCCCTCATTTACATTAATTCTTATGCGGAAATTGGATTTGCTTAACATCGTTTCGCTTAAAGTCACATTTTTCAGGAACATAACTACAACGTTAAGTGAGGAGTTACTGTACTAAACACAGTCCTTCAACTCCCAGCACATAAGGATTGGGTAAACTTTGCCCCACAATGCATCGGGCAAGGGCCCCCTTCCACACTGGCCAGGCAGAAAGAAGGGAGACAATTGTCAACTCTAAAAGGGTATAGTGGCAGGTGCTGTTGCATGTTCCCTCAGTGTTCCCATGTGCATCTGCACATCTCTGCTGTAGCCTCCCCAAAAATACAGAGACTGAATTACAGCCTTCCTTTTTTAGAACAACCAGAGAAAAAAACAGATTGCAAAGCAGGGGCCAGCTTGTGGTACCTGTATTCATGTTGGGTATATTACCTTACCAGTATATTGTGCAAAGGAGTTGAGGACGTTTAAGGTGCTCCCTTATTGCCTTGCACTCTACCACTACTTCTTGTGTACAGGGGACTGCAGGCTCTGCACAGGTAGTTGGGGGGATGAGGGGGAGGAGAGTGTGTTGACGCTGCTTCTTCAACACACCCAGCAATCGTGGGGGTCCCCCCAGTGCCTTGGGGAGCTTATGCTGCATCCTAAATAGTCTATGCCCTGGGCTGAGTAGTAGGGAGACTATAACTCTGAATCGGGGCAGTGCAACGGCTTGCTGACCGTGGGCCAGATGATCCCAAGTCACCCAGCCCCGTGTAAGTAGTGCCATTGATGTCAGGTAGCAAGGCACTACTCAACCCGAGTAAAAGTGGCATGAAGGGGAGAGAAAGGGAGAGGGTTCGTAAATATGAGCGAATGCAGCCCCCAGGTGTGTAATTGCTCAGTAGCTAAACCCTACAATCCTTGCTCAGGCGGAGCTGCTATTGGAGTTAATGGGAGTGAGGGCTGCAGGCCTAAGCCCCGGGGAAGAGGGAAGGTCCCGCGGGGGAGGGGGAGTTTGGGTTAAGCCTTGACACCTGGGAGACGGGTGCTCTCCTCTCGCTATCCTGTGCGTGTGCAAGCAGCAGCGCTGCCCGGCGGGCACGGGGACAGCGGTGACGCCAGAGCGGCGGAGGGTTCCGGGTTCGACCCAGTGCCCGGGGGGCGCTGCTGGGGCAGCAGCACGTGTGCGCGCCGGGGCGAGGGCGGGTGGGAGGCGCAGGAGCAAGTCCCGCTCTGCGCGCTGCCCGGTAAGCTCACCGGATACCCACGCGAGAAAACAACCAATGGCAACATGCAGCTCCCGGGGCTGCAGTAAACACGGTCACAGGCTCAGCCCCCCGGCCCCGTGCTGTTGCTGCACCCTTGGCCCGGCTGCCTGCAACGGCTCCCTGCACAAGTGCAAAGCAGCGCCCGGGGCGGGGTTGTATCGCGTGCTCCCCTCCCGCTTTGGGAAACCAGCACCCCACCGGGGTTCCTCTTTGTGAAGTAGTTTTCTCTGTGTGTGTGAGGGGCAACCAGTTGCACGCCCTAAAGTGAGGAGAGTGGTTACTTTTCCCCTTGCCAGTCCCCCTCCTCCCCCTCAATCCCGTTTGCTCTCGGTTGCGGTGTGTGGCGAAGAGGGGGAGGGAGAGCCGTGGAGGGGGATGTCCTCTTGTTTTGCCGGAGGAGCAGCGCAAAAGGGGAACCTCGGCTTGAAGAAGGGGCGAGAATCAACAACCCGGGAGCAGCCCGAACAGAAAGGTAGCGGCGTGTCCCCGAACCAGGAGGTGAGTGTCGCTGCTCCGCTCCGCTCCCCTTCCCACGTCGCCCCCTGTGTGTTTGTGTGTGC